CGTTCATCTGATGAGTACTTTCGGCCAGTTGAAAAGCATCCTAGAAAGGCAAATTGATAGCAGTTGTCATTACTAGTATACTTTTTACTGTTGGTGGCTTACAGAAATGTAGTCTAGCTTTTAAGTGAATTCTCCTCTAAAATTTTGTTTCTTCAAATGCTGTTTATCATATTATTAAATAAGGCAAAAAACTGTTAACGGATTGGAGATAAATAGGAGGGTTGCTTTTTAATTGATCTCCTGATATTTCTTAGCTTAGCTTTCATTACTCAAGTTTGTTTACTAAATCATTTTGAGATGAGGACGACTACAAGTTTCAAGATCTGCGGTTCAAAACTGGTAATGTTTACCATTAAGTGTACCCGACAAGGATTACTATAGACGATGTCATAGACATTATTAAACCTATGTCTATTGGACCTACATCTCAATACAACTTTTATTTATTTTTGGTTTTAAGATTACATGACTGTAGCATAGTTTGTTAGCAAGACGCAGCAGTTTCTAAAGCTAATTAAGCAGTAGTTTTATACGGTAAATTTTAGTGCAATGTCTCACATTTCAGTTTTCATGCCTTTTAAAGATTATCTTAGCCATCTTTAATCTTTTACAGTATATTTTTAATGTGTTGCTAATTTGGTTACTGAAGTATCCTTAGTTCATCGTTTTAATTAAAGGCTGCAGCAAAAATTTAAAATCCAAGTGACACCTGATAACAGTGCGACATTGCTAGGAACTGAATTGCTGCTGTATGATCACCACTCTTTGTAAAAAAGCTGAAATCTGATTTTGTTTGAATTCATTTGGCTTGCAAATAAAATAAAAAGAATAAGCAATTGTGGAACTATAAATTACTCACTTTGCAATCAGTTTAGCACCTTCGACACTCTTTGTTTCTTTAACTACCTTAATTGCTTCATTAGGCATATTTAGTTGGTTCAGCAAAATTCGCACCAAATTGTCATAGTCTCGAGCATTTTTGTACGCCTAAACATTGTAGCAACGACTGGCTGATCTGTTTTATCTCTGTTTATCTTTTTTGGTTCACTTATTTTTTTTAGCAAGTAAGGGTATCTATTTACGGACAAATTTATTTTCGTCAATGTGAAATTTTTGAAAATAAATTCTTTTATTCAAAGTTAAAGGAATTCTTAGTTCGCGCTGCTTTTTTTCTTGAATCTTGAAAAGTATAAAAAAATATATGGTTTTTTACCAAAGCTGCTTGCTTATATTTTTTCTCTGATTCCATTATTTTTGCATATTGCGAGTGAATTTTTGGAGAGCGAACTTTGGGAAGTAGAGCTGTGACTTTTGGCCTATAAATAAAAAAAATTCTGAACAGCGATGTTTTTGTAAACAATACTTTGTGATTCCTTTGCAACTAGTAAAACCTTATTTGGGTTTGAAATTTACCAGTTTTTAGCTTTTAAGTAAACAGCTGCTGCACGTGTATAAAACTGTCCAATTTCGTAGAGTTGTCCTGCCTCGACATATTGCTACAATATATTTGCTGGTTATACCGCTTATCAGGGTCCATAAGGTTGAAGAATTCAACTAACGTTTCAAGAAACTTTGACGTAATTAAATCATTAATTTATTTTGATTAATGGCAATTTAATGTCTCAAAGGAGAGCTAGGCTAAATTGACTTTTTAATAAAACATATGATATATTTAGTTTTATGAGCGTTACAACCAGTTTTTTTGAAAGTTATTCAACTTAAGAAAAAAGATAACCTTCATTTCTTCCAAAATTATAGCACAATCACGTTTTGCTGTACGATCGTTAAGTTGACTTGCAATTTTAAATCCCCTGAAAAAAAAATGCGAAAATAAAATTGCAGTACTTTCAGTAACAGTTATTTAGTAGCATTTCTTCTTTTGATCATGATTATTCTTTGGTTATTAAGATAGACTTATGGAAGACTAAAAATTTTAAAGAATTAAAGCAAGCAGTACCTTCTGATGTCACCAGAGTGTATAGATACTCTCGCAATACCAGCACGACAAGCTTCGTTATGTTCGCTTATCTGCAACAAATTTCAATCTTTGTGCTAAGTAAAGGCAAACTAAATATTTCAGAGAAAGTGAGGTAAAATATATTTTTTTTATAATTAGTTAAGCTAGAACGAAGGATTTACTGGTGAAGCGCTTATTCGGAACGTTTTATGGGATTTGTATGACTAATGTAAAATTATAAAAGAATATGACGATAAATTTTTTTGTACAAGAAAGATCAGTTCTTATAAAAATAATCATTTTTTCTGCTTGTCCATCGTTTTCAAACTTGACACCTATTTGCTGTCTTGTTGATTTGTTCAAATTTCGTCTTTTCTTTCCTGATTTTAATGTAGTCTTAGTTGCTTCTGTTTGAGAAATCTTAAAGGCTTCTTGTTCCGGTTTTTAGGTTAGAAAAAATTATTTTTCATATTTCGCGGAATGTTATAGCAGCTGACTGTATATTTTTATAGAAATGAAACGATGGGTATTTTCAAGCATTTCACGTCTTGTGAAAAACTGTGCTTTATGGATGTGGAAATCCTTATAGTTTGTAGAAGAACTGGTTAGGCCAACAGATATGTTGCTTTTAATTAAAATACAATAACTTCGTCACAAATACTTTTTCCGAGCTTTCTTCAGTCTCTTCTAAGACGGCATTCTCATAATGTGTAAGGGCTCCCCCGTAATTGCCTCTGAAATCAAATGCAATTTTGAATCACTTGATCAACAGTAAAAAAAATTATCACTGCAATTTTAGTATTTACAATTTTGAGCCAACACTTACGTGAATTCTAACTGTTGGGCATATTCTTTTGAGATAAATGGCATCTGCTGCGGATCAAGGTGTTCTGCCAACTGAAGTGCTTTCTCCCAGTGAAGTAAATCTCGACGCATCTAAACAACCTATACACGGAAGAATTTTTAGCTTTGATTAGTAATTTATTTATTCTAACTAATTTAGGTTTGATCACCATCTGTGATAAAGGTAGAATTTTAGCAGCACTTGAAGCAGATGACACGAAGTGCTGTTTTTGAAACGTAGCAATTGAGAAGCCATCAGTTTAGTTTCAGCAGCGGGAGTTATTAAGCAAACTCAAATTCTAATTTCGGAACTTTCTGTTCTAACACCTTACATCTAATGCATGTATTGGTTCTGATGAAGCCAAAAAATATTCTTCAGCCTTTTCATATTGTCCTAAAATTAAGGCAATATGACCCAGTAAAAGTTTTCGCTCCTCAACATCTAGAATTTTTTCCAGTGACCACACCATTGCCACATCACCAATTTGTTTATAGATACGAATAGCTGGAAAAAAATTTTTTTATTGTTAATATTTTTCTTAATAAATAAAAAAAATACCCTTCTGTAAAATCTTTGTTACTTTAAACAACTAAGGAACCTAGTTCAAGATCGCCGCTTTGAAGTACCGCTTTCCCAAATTTTCGCCAGTTGTCCTTCGAACCCGTATGAGAACAAATTTTCCATGCTATTGTCCATCTAGTAGTGTAATAAATTGATATTTTATAACAGAGTTAAAAGCGAGCAACTAATTTACAACTTATGTGCCGCGCGTGAGAACTTAAACGACCGGAATAAGACGTAATTGGCAATAGGAGTGATTTCAGAAATGAAGCTAAGAGACGAGAAGCAAACTTTATTTGAAAAATGTAAAAAAAAACCTTTTTAGGAGTAGCACTTGTTGTAATAAGTGTGCTGCCTGTAAAGAAAATAGTCTGTAAAAGCATTAGACAAAAAACTGTAGAAAGTAAAACGCCACAAGTTTTTGACATAACTATTTTGTTGATTTTTTCCCATTACTTGTTAATAAATAACTGTCTCTAAGTCAAAAAAAAAAAGAAAGCTAACTGAAAGCGTTTATATTTTAAATGACCACTAACTGCAGCATCAGATTTTCCTTCCATTGTAACATCCGTCTTCAAAGGATCGATCAAAATTGTTGCCGTGCGTCCAGTATCTGTTTGACAATGTGCCATGCCTTTGGATAACATCAACGGTTTGTAGCCGTACGGTATTGTACTTGTGCCAAGTGAAATAATTGGTTGACCTTGACTATCACTATTGAATATTCGAGAATTGATTTGACAAGATGAAATTTTGTTTTTTAATTTCAAAAATTTTCTGAATTATACGTTTAGAAACGAAAGTAAGATTTACTACCGTATATCTGATCAGCACAGAAGAGGAAAGCTTGAAAAATATTTTCGTAACATACAACGAAGACGTTCCGATCAGCAGAAAAATTTTCCCACATACAGTAATCAAACTGTAAATAGCAGGTAATAATTTTAATACGGTAGCAATGAAGAAGTAGGTTATGAGTGGAATACTTTATATTAAAATCTTGATCTTGGTTCAAAAGAAGTTGTTAATGATCAAAACTTAGAGCAAGAGAAGAAGAAAGAGACAGGAAAGAAGAGAATGAAGGGATAGAAAGAAATGAAATGAAAAGTAGTATTGTAACTATAACTGGAATAAGTTTTTTAGCTTTAGTTAGTATCTGAGAGATACAAATATTTAGTAGTTGGAAAGTGGCGGTGTCAATAGTAATGATAGAATTTAATAGCAGTAAACATTCCTAAGAAAACTCAAGGTTTTACAAATCATTGCTCGTTACTTCACCATGAAGTTAGCTATAGGATAACGTACATGAGCGGCAGATTCAGAAGGCGGTAATTTATGAAGCGAGTCGTCAACAGGACTATAAATGTAGGCGTCAAATCGTTCGTCAAAAAAGCATAATCGTGCGCTGTTTGGATCAGGAAATAGCATTTGAATTCCTGTATTATGCTTGAATTCGTTAACATAAGCTTCATACTCCAATGAGTAATAATGTAAGTGGCCAGCCTAAAGTGTTAATCAGTTTTTTTTTTGTTTGTTTTTACTTCTTTTTTTTTCCGTTTTAAGTTGAAACTACTTGTTCTAGAGTCAGTTTTTAAAGATGGTTGGAATTCGTACTTCCGTACAATAGATTAAGAAGTCGTCAGTTAAAGCTATATTTTGTATCTTTGCCGTACAGTGCTGCGGATCTGGAAATGAACGCCCAGTTACTTCGCTATTGTAGTTTCCTTGGTCGTCCAACAACTGGAATAAAGACGTCAAAAAAGTACCGTAAAAGACTTGGTTCGCTGTGTAATTTTGTGAAAAATAGGGTTCTTTTTATACTCTAATTTTGTGTCTTGAAAAAAGAAGAAGAATCTTTTCTGAAAATAAGAAGTGATACCTTATGCAACTGTACAGTGCCATCAAATTTTGTTGCTACAAAATTTTCGTTAATGACCATTGCATTAATGGAGAATAGGTACTGTAGTTCAGTAACCAAAATTGGTTCTAAAAAAACTTTTTTTTTTCTGTGTAAAAAACAATCGTTAGAGTTTGAATGGAGCAGTAACAAAATTGGAAATGAATTATTTATATATCGCAAAAATTTACCAGCTGTAATTTCGTAAATCCAAACACGGTTGTTCATTGCCACTGCAAAATGTTTTGGACCAACAGCAATCAGCGATGGTTCAATCTCAGTACCCGTTTTTGCAACCGAAGCCTTAACAGTCTCAATGAGACCAAACAAGGAACAAAATAACAGATAAGCATATAGATGTAAGATAAATGTAATCTTTAGAGTAAATTTACAGAATAACTGTATCTTCCTGTTTAGGCTTTTCTTGAACTTGTTTTGTCATTTTCACCTCTACCATGCTTATCTTCAGTTCCCTTCGGTCAAAGATTTTCTATAGAAAAAAACCGTTTTTTCTTAAGTACCCCACCAAACAAATCTTTTTGACTCAAAAAATCGTGTATTCTTTGTTCAAAAATTACCTCGTAAAGAAATTGCAGAAATTAATTTTACTTAAAATTTTAAGTATATTCGTCGGATTACATTATCAACAATAATACAGTCTGCAGTTTTTGGTCTGGAACCAGCAGTAAAAAATCAAATAAAGTTTTACTGCTGGTTTTTTTTAAAAGATATCTAAGAAGTGAAAAGAGACTGCATTCTTAGATGTAGCTTTTTTCTTTTTCTCCTTATATCTACTGCTTATCTACTTATCTTATGAATTATCTATTTACTTTTCACCATTTTTTTCCTATTCCCAGTTGTAACGTGAGCTGTTCATTTTTATAAAACGTCGCATTTGGTGTTATTATGGCGCACAAGTGAAAAAAAGAGCGAAAATTTACCAAACCTTCAAACTCCTTACTGATTTTACGGTAAAACGAAAAACAACAAGGAACTTCAAAAAACTCTTTCCAGATAACCGTGAAAACTTGTACTTGCTTTAACTTTTACCCCGCAGCAAAATCTTTGCCTTTTGGTCAATGTTCCTAATCCTTTATGGGTAAACATCATCAGTCAAAAATTATTCTTCCTTTTCTTCGATAGTGAGTGCCAAGAAAATATTTTTGAGGATAGAACTTTTATTTACACTGTTTACGTTTTTAATGAAGATCGAAGAGATGTAGAGAAAAAATCTAAGTTTTTTAAATTACTAAACTTTTTGTGTTAAATGAAACATTAACGTTATTCACTTACGAAATATTGATGAACAAAAGCAAATATCTCTACCGACTTACTTTTTTACTTTCATTGTAAACAGTCACTTCAGTCAATGATGACAGTACCGCAACACTGTTCTTATAAGCTGCTCCAACAATTGGCATCTTGGTGAGGAAGACACTGAGTGTTCCAGATAGACCGGCAACTGCAATCATCTGACCATCATCTGTGGCTTCAACTTGATAGAGACCTGTGAACCGCTGCCAATACTTTTTGCAACTCAATTTTTTGACTAATTAAGACTAATAAAGGCAGATATAATAATATTTTCATAAATTTATTCTGTTTTTAGATTTTGTACAGAGAAACTCTGTTTGAAGAAGAGAAAGATAAAAAAACTAACCTTTTTCTTCATTTTCAACGTCATATATTGACGTAACCTCTTCAAGCTGTGTAAGTTCACGAATTTTCAGTCTAAATAAACTAGCATAAAAATAGTATTACTTTTATGACTAAAAATTAATAAAAAAAGAGACCTTATTTTTTACCCAAAAATCACGCCGTAAAAACAGTTGAAAAAAATTTTAAAAAAAAAGTGTTTTAAGATGCTCAAAATTAATGCAGTAAACTGAGCGTAACAAATTAACAAATTTTCGGAATGTGACAAAAGGTAAGTTATCAATGTTTTTAAGTTACTTTCAACAAAACTTACACATTATTTTTTTTCACAAGCAAAATTTATAAAAACAAGAAACGTGAAGCGAATAAAACTTTAAGTTTGTAAAAGATAAATGTCATAAAACCAATAAAAAAAAAGAGATTTCTAATGAAAATCTATAGTAAAAAATCATACTGAAAATCCCCGACCACCATAACCTGTGATAGTCTTTCGCTAACGTACAAACCACCAAAAGAGTTTTTGAAGTCTTGTACAGAAAACATTTCCTGAAAAATTTATGTATTAGGGTCTTAAATGCAATTCCTTGAAGCTGAAAAATGTGTACCAAACTAAGATTTCATAGAAATATAAATAAACAGATGTCAAACATTAACACAGTTTCAAATACAAATTAAAAATATAGTTACAATAAGTAGCCAATAAAGAGTAAGAATAAGATGAAGATTCTAGGAGTATAGCTGTGCTCTAACCTGACCGATTTCGGATACATGCGCCGATACGCAAACCAAGTAACCTTCAGCGAATCCCAGAAGTATATATCCGTTTCCATACCTATTTATCTTGTATAATTAGAAATCAGTTCACAAACAAAAAGTCAAAATGTTCATTTAAAGTTTCTGCAGAATATTTAAACTGATTAGCTGTTATTTTATAGCACAATATCTCTCTCTCAAGTTGTTAGAAACAGGAATAAAGAAATTAAAAGATATCTGGTAAAAACGATTACAAAAGGAATTCGTGGCTGTAAGGAAGGTTTTTTCAGGTTATGTAAAGACGTAAAAGTAAATTAGGTTGTCTGTAGTTATAGAATTCAACTGGTATTTGAGCAGAATTACTGATGTTTAGACTGTTTAGATAGATGGAAGTGTAGTTAACAAAAATTTTTTTTTACGTAGACAAAAGATTTACAGTCTGTTTCAGCGCCTATTTGCTTTTGACACGTCGACTTTTTTTTTTTTTGTTGATCATAATAAATAAGTTAGTAAATAAAACTGCACTGTTAGTTAAGTTACAAAAGTAGCAAACTAATTAAGTGCTAAAGACAATAATTCAAAATAAAGAAAATTTAAAAAACCTGATTACAGGCTTAAAATTTTGTTGCAAAACATTGATTTGTATAGCAGTTAAACTAACTTTTTTCCGCTCTTTTTCTTTCTCACTTTTACTCGCTTTAATTGCCCAACAGCTTAAATGTTTTCAATAATCTTTATAAACAAAGTAAAAAACTGGTAATAAACACAATTTTTTTAAAATTTTTCTTTTTTTTTTCACGCTGTTGCTATTGCTAATAAATGTAAGTAAGATTTGAAAAGCACTAAAAATGGCAATAAAGAAAGAAGAAATAAAAAGTTGCAGAAAAATGACCAATTTCAAAGCTGCCAATTGAAAAAAATTTTTTTTTATCCATCATTCTCAATAAGAATCGGCTGTATCCAATTGGCCTTACTCGCTTTAGTACAGCGTATCACTGCGTATTTAAATTTTGCTATAATCTAAAACTTTCTCTCTTGATTTTAACTCAAACAGACTCAAACAGACACTTTAATTCTTACAAGTCTTATTTTCTAAAATTTTACAGTATACAACAGAAATTTTGTATCTAACTAATTCACTGAAACTCTATCCAAAATTTGGCATTTTGCGACCAACTTTCTTTGCTGTTCATAATTCTAATCAGATCAAAAAATGGTATTTCCGTAGGCTCTTTCTACGTGTACGCTCTCAATAGAAAAAACCAGAGGAATATACACTGTTTCAGTGACCTACTCAAATCACAGGTTGAAAACGGTACGGTTACTTCAAAATCTTTCCAAACTTCTTTTCAACCCTAGTTTCAGCGCATTAAATTGAAATTAGCAACTTCAGGGCAAAGTTTTTCATTTTTAGAAAAAAAAAATAAAAAAGGTGAGTTTTAAATAAGTCACTAGAAAGTTAAGTACAAAAATCTCTCTGAAAGTTCAGCTGCAGAAATTTAGTGGCCATTTTAGGGTACAGATAACACTGACTAAAGTTCTTTTTCTTACATTAAGTTACTATCCTATAAGAGAAAATTTTTTTTGCTAACTTTATAGAAGACATACTTTTCGTGCAAAATGACGATTTAGATACAAAACTTCGTAAAAACTTAAGAAGAAGTTTTTTTCTAAATTTAAAAACCAGCGCTTTACTTTTGTATATTTTTTCATTTATTTAGAATTAAAAAAATTTTACTTAAGTCTGCATCACTAAAACCATAGATAACACTTTTGTGTTAAAAAGCTCCCTTCGGCTGCCGTTAATTTTGTTTACAATTTATCCGCAAATGCTTTTTCTTTCCCCGTAGATCACGAAACCAATAATTATAATATTCAAAACCCAATAAACTTAAGTATACCATGAATAAGTGATAATTTCTCCGTAACGAGACTGAAATTGAAGATTTATTGGCTTTTGGTAGTCGTTCAAGTCCATAATCATTAGAATTGTACCACCCAAGATAACGCTAAGCTGCAAAAGACTATTTTTTTAAAAAGTTGGGAGTATAGAATTACTAAACCGGAAACCTTAGTACAAATAAATTTTGGTCAGTAATTTCTTGAAAGCCTAGGTTAAAAGTAGCAAATGACAGTTTCTTAAAAAATAAAAAACTAATTTTAAATAGTCTTTTCATTTAAAAGTCAACCTAATAAATAGATTACCATTTCCTCCGATCGAATGTTTTTTTCGTTCAATTGCTTAAAGGTATAAAATTTAAGTACTGTTGGTTCTGAACAACAGGAAATGGTATGGATGGTATCGCCGTTGCTGTTGCTTAAGGTTAGAATTCCGTCTTCAGAGCCCAAACCAAGTTTACCGCTTGGAGCAAACGCACCACATGTTATTGGTTGTTGATGTTTACCAACTACCAACATTTTTCTGTTCAAATGGTTGATTAATTTGCTTACCACACCATCTGTTTCATTTAACCACGTGCAGATGAAAGTAGTTTTTTTTCATGATTTGGAAGGTGCTACCTGTCAAACACAAAGTCGACTTTTTCTCCTTTATTAAATCTTTGTTTTTCCTTTAGTTAAGAAATAAGAATTACGTCAAAAGCATTTAAAAACTAATAATAGACAAAGTAAGTGCTTGACAAACTAATTCCGCAGTGCAGTCTTTTGAAAGCATAAGATAGATACTTTAGCAGCATAAAAACTGTTTTCGAAAAGAAAGGGATTAATAATGTAAACGATTACTTTGCAGTCTGTCGATTATACATGACCAGGCAGCCTTTCGTTGTCCCTACAGCTAAAACTAGGGCAGTGGGAGACCATTCCATAAAAGTTATGACATCTCTGCAAAGGTGCATCGAGTAATAGAGAGCTTAAGGTTGTCGAAATAAAGCTACTAGAAGCTAAAGAGTTGTAATGAGTGAAAGTGGTAAGATTCTTAGCCACCGGTTACCACTAATTTTCTTCTTTTACTGTTATTCTCGCGTGATAATAAAAAAACACAGACCGTGTTTAGCCTTCACAAGTTGGACTTACTTGCTTCCTGGATTCATATCAACAACTTCAGTTTTACGCCTTCCTACTTCCCAAAACAATACCGACGTATTTGTACCGGTTGCTGCAGCCAAAATATCGCCATCTTTGTGCCATGATAGCAGTGAAGTAAAACTGAAAGAAAATTTTTCTGAGCAGTTAGACGGGTACGAATTCTTTCTAAAGTTACTATATTTTCATTGCTATTTTTCTGCTTCTTCAGTGTAACGGTGTAAACAGTGGACTGCCGTGTTGACACTCACTCTTGATGAGAAATTTCATCAACTATACGTCCATAGCGATCATAGATAACAACTCCAGATCCAACTCTACAAGAACGTTACATTCAGAAATTAGCATTGATACTGTCGGTAAGGTAAAAAAGAGATTTACCCGCTAACTGCAATATATGATCCTTTAGGGCGCCAGCGAAATTGCAGATACCCGTCAGCAGTTTCATGGTTATTTTTACTAAATATCAGCTGAAAATTTGAATGGTCATGTTGGATTAGTGTATTACT